GGACTTCAACTCCCAGAGTTCCTCAGCCAGCTTTGCTGGCTGAGGAACTCTGGGAGTTGAAGTCCACAAGTCTTAAAGTTGCCAAGGTTGGAGACCACTGGGTTAGCTCATACAAAGCAATAATTCGGGAGAAATACTCCTGCTCTCTCGGCTTGCTCAAGGTTAGGTGGAGACTATGGTGACGACATCATAAGTAGAGCCAAAATGACAGCAGTGAATCTTTCTAATCTCTATTAATGTTCAATTCTTCAGCAGCTTTCCAAGCAGGTCAACATCTGCATGCCTTCTGCAAATATTCTTTTAAACATTCATGTTTGCAACTTTTCTCAACAACTCTGCCTTCAGATCATCCATCACCCTCCGATTAAAAACAGCTCTTGACCCTTTAGGATGTCATCACCACAGTCTCCACCCAACCTTGAGCAAGCTGAGAGAGCAGGAGAATTTCTCCCGAATTATCGCTTTGTATGAGCTAATCCAGTGGTCTCCAACCTTGGCAACTTTAAGACTTGTGGACTTCAACTCCCAGAGTTCCTCAGCCAGCAAAGCTGGCTGAGGAACTCTGGGAGTTGAAGTCGACAGGTCTTAAAGTTGCCAAGGTTGGAGACTACTGAGCTAACCGACGCCTGTAATCAGACTTGAAGGAACCAAGATAGCACATTTAAGTCGCCTCATGCACAGCACCCCCTTCCTTCTAGATAAGACAACAGCAGCAGCAGCAAGAGGCAACTGTTATGACAAGGATACATTTCCGAGGCGAAGGCTCCCTCCAGCCTTGGCTGCCGATGTATCCACCACCTCCTCCTCCTCCTCCCGAGGGCCTTCCAGGGGAATTGCCACCTCGGCTCCTTCCCCAGCGGCCTCCGCCCCGGTAGGCCCTGCCTCGAAAACGAAACCGGTCCAGCGCGTTGTGGCTGCGTTCCCAGAACGAGAGCCGCGGGCCGGCGTCGGGGTGAGGGCCGGGCGGCAGCCGCGAGCACGACGAGGAAGGAGGCGGCTGGGGACGGAAAGGCTCCTTCAGCCGGTACCCGCCGCCTCCGCCGTGCCCGTGGACGTGTCCGAGTTCCGGGGGAGGCTGGTGGCGCAAGTGAGGGAAGCGGCGAGAGGAGGACGGGAGGCTGTTCCGCAGGTCGGGAGGCGGCCTGCGTCGGGCGTAAGGGCCCCGGCCGCCACTCCGGTCTCTGCCGCTGGGCTCAGGGGGTGCATCGTTATTGTCGTCGTCGCTGATTTCTCCGTCCTCTAGTTCCCCTTCCTCTTTCGGGGAGAGGTCGCTCGGGGTCGCCGCCTTCTCCTCAGCCGCAGAAGCCGCCATAGGAGTTACTCAGCGCTCACTGGGCCGCAGACGCAGAAGGAAACGCCCCGGGCTGGCCCGCCCACAAGCGCACCGCTCACTTTCGGTGCCTTTTTCCAAGTGGCGCGACGGCCCAGTCAGACCCCAAACTTGTACGCGCAACACCACCCTTCCCCTTTGCTCTCAGGACTCTCGCGAGACTTCGTTGTTTTTTCCGCTCTTCCCCTTCCTCAAAGGATAGCGGCGGGGGGGGGGAGAGGAGCATCACAAAGGGGGGGCGGCGAAATGCACGTTGGGAATTGTAGTCCCCCCCGCCGTCAGGAAATTGAGGAGGTCAGTTCCACTTCAACGAAGAACTGGGAAATAATAACGGTTCTTTAACGGCAATTGTGCCTGCTCTAAAAATTATGAGGAAAAGAATGTCTGAAGATCTAATAAAGGCTGCACAGAGCTTAGTTTAGGCGTAGTTGCAGAACAGGACAAAACTCAGCTCTACCGATGGGTTTTGTATAGTTCGTATTTAACTTGTGGAATCCTTCGCTGTAAAATGTGGAGCTGATAGCTATTATCTTATAAGTTTTAAATGAGGAGTGGCCTTATTCCGAAGAAGATGAAGATAAAATCCCAATAAGAAGTGGGTATGTTTAGTCTAGAGAGAAAACCAGGGGGAGCAGTTCCTCAAATATTTAAAGGGCTGGGTGGGAAAAGGTGTAGCTTTATTCTAAGAAGGTAGGACGAGAACCAGCAGGTGCAGCAGAAGCTTTACCGAAGACGATCCAAACTTGAAAGGGGGAATACTCTGACAGTTGTTAAACAGTTTCCTAGAGTTTGAGCCTGATCCATCTCTAGAAAAAGAAATATTAGAGGATTATGATTGGAGGATCCCAGCTCAAATTCAGGAAGTTGGAGAAGACAACTGAGTCCCTTTCCAACCCTGTGAGTCTAAATCATGAAACCAATACTATAGTATCAAGTTTTATAAATGAAATGGCTAGAAATAGCTGAATGCTAATACCTTGTATGTGGGCTTTCCATGTGTATTTGGTTAGTCACTGTAGAAAACGTGGATGCAAAGAAGGACTTTAGAAGGTTTAAAATCCCAGAAGTACTTTATGTAAGTGCTTCCCTTCAGTTCATGAATGATGCAACAGAAAAGTGGAATACTTCTAATTGCAATGAGGCTAGTAATGCAATGTTGTGATACTGACTTTCCTATGTTCCCTAGGACAGGTTTAGAGAAGTAATGATTCTTGTGGGTTTGTTTCCATTCCTATTCAACATCATCTATTGTTGGAAAAATAATCACTTAACATGTGGACAAGTAGGAATAGGTGAACATAATCAAGTGTAGATTTTAAGTTTAGCCATCTACCAAGTTGCTGAACTAACTGGTTGTAAGTACAGAGAGGTATGAAATTATAATGGAAGAGCTGCCTTTCTGTTTGACACAACCACTCCTATGTGTCTGAACCTTCTGTGAGTATTTTTAAACAGGAGCCTAGAGCAATTTTGACATTTTGCTAAAATCTTGACCAGGTTTTGGGAGAGGATATAAGGTGACACAGAAGGAGCAAATGATAATAGCAAACTGTTCTTGTTTAGCATTGCCATGGAATAGCAACACCTGGAAATACGATGTGGAATACAGGTAGTCCTTAAGTTACAGCCATATTGGAGCTTGTCCATTAGGATCAGATGTCAGGACAAATATTAAAAGAACTGCCTCAAGTAATGACCAATCATCCCTGCTCTTCCCAGTGCATTCATTGAACACACAGGTCAATAAGTGGGCTGTGGGCTGCCTCAGGGATAGGAGAGATCCTGGGAGGCCTAATGCAAGTAAAAAGGCCACCTGCCTTGGCTCTCCCACAGCCTTCCTCACCACGAGTTACCCTATGCTCCATTTCCCATCCATTGGGTAACTTGCATACATGCCTACCACACAGCTGACTGGCTTGCTGGCAACAAACAATTTGGAAGGAAAAGATGGGGTGTGCCTGTCTCTCCTGATTGCTGCTGCCCTTCTGGGGCCAAAAAAAGGATGGGTTTCCTAGTCTTTCAGAGCTATAATTTCAATATTTGCATATCTTCAAATCCACCCAAATCCACATTTCTTCAATAAAGTTAAAAAAAAGGCTGGGATTTACAGACTTGTCTAATTTTTACCACCACCACCCATTAGGTTTTGAAATGAAACTCCACAACTCTGCCCTCCAATCTCTATCCCTTTTAATAGCTTAATTTGCTAAATACACTGCCTGCCTGGAAAGAGATGGCAAAATCTGTAAGTTATTTACCTTGACCCAGGCTGAAGAGCATGGGAAAGGGATGATGCAAGGAAAGAAAATATTTCTGCAGCAAAGGTCTGGGTCAGCAAGACAAATGTAGACATTGGGAGTATGGTTTTAAAGAAAAAAGACCAATAAAAAACACCAGATTAAAGGACTCAAGAACTCAGATAACCAACAATACTGTTTAATGTTCAATGTGCAAGACCAAATATCTAGGCTGTGGTCAGCAACTGAGGAAGCAGACAGGAGGGAATGGGAGAATGTGTCACTAGAACATTTTCTCACAATGTTTTTTAACTTATGTTTAGTACTTTCTTTTTGATTTATTCTGTTGTCATTATCAAATGTAGTCTTTTTATTTTATATTTCACTATTTAAATAATAAAGACACCCAGAACTGTTTTTTGTGAGGAGGGTGGCCATATACAGTAAATGTGATAAACAGACATCCTTAAAATAAGAGACTGGAGAGATACACGAAGTCCCACATTCCCTTGCCCTGAGTTACATGTGGGCTAAGGATATACACTTTTGGTACCATTCCAATGCATTTTGTGCACTTTTATATGAATCATTTAAAATAATAATTAACAAAACAGGTGCAGATCATGCTGGCTCTCCAGCTTTAATTGAACCATGATTCTCTACAACTCCAACCAGTATGGTAAAGAATGCCATGTGTTATAATTCATCCATAATTAGAGCCACACAATATATCTCCAATATCTCCACAATATTGGAATGAGACCTCATTCCAGAGGACAGGCACTGTGACAGTGACTGTGCACTTCCATGGTTCTGATAGAGGGTATTATTTAATGGGAGATAGTGGTTTCTCAAGTAATCAGGACCTATGCCATGAAGAGCTTTATAGATAGCAGCCATCACTTTGAATGGCACCCACATGCAAACCTACAACGACTGCAAATTACAAACTAAAGATGCTACATAGATATCCTAAGGCCTGCCTGCTCTGCTACTTTCTGAACCAACTGAAGGCTCCAATTGGTCTTCAAGGCAGCCCATATAAAAGCTGTAGTCAAGCCATGAGGTGACCAGGACATGATCTACAAAAGGGTGCAACTGACACATCAGGTGAATCTGTACAAACAGCTGTCACCTTCTTGACCACAGCTGTTACTTGCTTATCAAATGGGAGGTGTGAATCCAGGCCAGCCTGTAGATTGTGCACCACTCTTAAGTGAAGAAGTACAACCCTATCCAAAGACAAATGTGGAATTCCCTAGGTCTGGGAGGGCCAAATACCCAAAATGTTTCAAAACTGTGTTGGGGGACAGTTCCTACCCATACAAATCCATACAGACTATAGATACTGGGATAGAATTTTGGTAATCTCACGTGGCCAGGCTGGACTTGAGAGATATAATTGAGTATCATTAATATATTGATAATGCTGAACCCCAAACTGTGGATGGTACCCAGTAGTGGTTTCATGTAGATTTTGAAATGGAAGGTAGAGAGTAGAATCTTATGGCACTCCTCAAAGAAGAGGCCAGGAGAGTAATCAGTGTCCCCCACAACCAATACCAGTTGGACCCAGTCCTGGAAAAAGATTGCTACCTTTAACCTAGCTCTACCATAGGTAATCTACAAGTGTGACCAAAGTTGCCTCAGTACTAAATCTGGTCCTGAAACCTGACTGAAAGAAGACCACATACTCTGTTGCCTATAAGGTTTTCATCAACTATAGAATCAATCACTTTCTCAAAAACCATCTCCCAAAAGGGAGGGAAACTGGATGATAATTATCAAAAGCAGATGGGTTCAAGGATGGACTTGTGAGGGGATGAGAGGACCACCACCTCTTTCATGATAGGTGATACTATCCCCTCTGTTAAGCTAAGAACACAGCATGAACATAACTGCAAGTTGCCTCCCTGGCTGCTTTTACAACTCAAGAAGGGCCTGGATCCAGAAACAGGTAGCCAGGTTAACAGCAGAAAGGGGCCCCAGGGAGGGATGATAGCAGTGATTTGAAAGGCAATATGTCCATAGCAATGGATGAGGTCAATGTCTGCCACTTCCAGATTCTGTATTAATCCCAACATGACCAACACATACTATATATATATATATATATGTAGGTCTCTAGTTATTCGGGTTTTCTCCCACATAGAATTGGAGATGTCTTGGCTACGTCTTAATTCTACGCAGGAGAAAACCCGAATAACTAGAGACCTACATACTAACACCCGCGAAAACCTCAGAAAACATACATACATGCATACATACATACATACATACATACATACATACATACATANAAAGGATACAAGCAACAAAGTTATACTCATTCAGTCATAAGTGCGAGGAGATGGGAGCATGTCAAATATATCAGATGGATCACTGATTTCCCTCATACCCCAACAGAAACCTGTAAGAAAATATAGACAATGTAAATATATTTCAAGCATGTTTTTTATCTCTGCTTTTTTCTGCCCAAAGCAGTCCAAGAAGGCAAAATAAAAAAGCAGAATCTTCACCTTTCATAGGTAAAGATTGAGATTTAATAAGTGTGAAGTTATTATTTCTAGGTGCTTCCAGTTCCTTAAGCACTGCTCAAGCTGAAGTGTTTTGTTCTATATGATACAGATCGTTAGATTTATGACACAGATGTGTTAGACTTGTCCAGTACAATGTTGAAAATATTTCAGAGTTTGTCCAATGCTGGCTATACAAGTAACATCCTTGCTCAAAAGGAATAAATCCAGAATACCATTGGGGGGATAAACCTGTGCTCTTTTCCATGCTGGGGACCAAATAGCTGCAGCTGG